GGGGCAGAGGGAGAGGGAGAGAATCTCAAGCAGGCTCCATGCCCAGCACAGAGCCTGACATGAGACTCAATCTCGCAACCTTGAGGTCATGACCTAAACCAAAATCAAGAGTCAGATTGAACTGGGGCACCTGGATAGCTCATTCTGTTAAGCGTCTGCCTTCAGCTCAGGTCACAATCTCAGGGTCCTGGGATCGAGCCCTGAATCAGGCTTCCTGCCCAATGGGGTGTCTGCTTCTCCCTCTGCCCCTCCCCCCATCCCCACTCATGCTTGATCTCTCTCTCAAATAAATAAAATCTTTAAAAAGTAAAAATAAAAAAGAGTCAGACTTAACTAAGTCACCTAGGCACCCCCAGTGTGTATACCCTTTAATCCAGTGATTCTATATGCAGCATTTTGCCCGTGTTTTGAATTTGTTGGGGGGACTCAAACTTTTTTTTTTTTTAAGATTTTATTTATTTGACAGAGACACAGCGAGAGAAGGAACACAAGCAGGGGGAGTGGGAGAGGGAGAAGCAGACTTCCCGCCGAGCAGGGAGCCTAGCCCGATGTGGGGCTCGATCCCTGGGATCATGACCTGAGCCGAAGGCAGACGCTTAAAGACTGAGCCACCCAGGGGCCTCTCAAACTTTTTTTTAAAGATTTTATTTATTTATTTGAGAGAGCGAGCACAAGAAGGGGGAGCGGGAGAGGGAGAAGCAGACTCCCCGCGGAGCAGGGAGCCCGATGTGGGGCTCAATCCCGGGACTCAAGGATCATGACCTGAGCCGAAGGCAGTCGCTTAACCAACTGAGCCACCCAGGCGCCTCTCCATATGTACATAATTTTGTAAATTCCCACAGAATTTTTTTTTTTTTTGCTATTTGGTTAAATATGTGCATAATAGAGGAAATAAATAATTTGAAGTAAAAAGTATTTTAATCAGTATATTATTAAATCATATTATAAAGTTTAATACCTCAAGAATATTACTAATTTGTAAAGACAGAAGACTGAATTTTTCCAGTCAAGTGATGTGCAATATTCATTTTAATTATATAATAAAAAGCACAGTCTACAAATTTCAAATGGTGTGCTTTGGGGATTGAATATATAAATTAAGATTTAACTTTTAATTTATGTATCAACAAAAGCTGGGGTGGGGATTGCTTTCCTGACCTGTTATTTTGAGAAACTTATATTCTACTCTCTTAAAAAATCAAATCAATTTATTTATGTTTTATAATGTTCAAACTTTGTTTCCAAATGAAAATCTAAGTGAGGAGGTTTCAGGCTGCTATTTATAAACAAATTACCCAACTCCTCAAGAACAAAAAAGAAATCATGTAAATTGGATACTATCAGTTTCCTTTTTATAACCCTGGCATTTCAAATACTACAAACATTTTGATATGGTATATAATGCGTATATGTATATATGCAGTTCTGTTCCAATAATGCAACCTATGTATGTGATAATAAAATAAAATCTAAAAAAAAGATTATCTTAAGTTATGTTTACCATTTTGATACTCTGTTAACTAACTTACCATATCTTGGTGTTCTTTATGCTTTTTTGTTTTTGACCAGTAATCCACTGTGGATGCAAATTAAACAATATAAACAGAAAAACCATTTAAAAGCATGTAGTCAGGGGGCGCCTGGGTGGCTCAGTCGTTAAGCGTCTACCTTCGGCTCAGGTCATGATCTCAGGGTCCTGGGATCGAGTCCTGCATCGGGCTCCCTGCTCAGTGGGAAGCCTGCTTCTCCCTCTCCCACTCCCCCTGCTTCTCCCTCTCCCATTCCCCCTGCTTGTATTCCCTCTCTCGCTGTGTCTCTCTCTGTCAAATAAATAAATAAAATCTTAAAAAAAAAAAAAATGTAGTCAAAACCATTGGGTTCACTGCCAATATTTAGCTGGATGCTAAGTGCCTTACATGGTTAAATCATGAACCAGTTCATCTGTTTACTTAGAAGCTCACATGTAAGCCCCCAGATTGGCCCAGTTTTGAAGAAAATATCTTTGTACTTGTGTTTTAAATACAGATAACTGAAACAGGGACTTACTCTTGTAGCACTGGAACAGCATGGGTATACATGCCACCATGTACACACAGACTCTGAGAGGTAGATACCAGGGTATTCATTTCCACTCTGTAATGATCACATGAATGAATGAATGAATGGCAGGAAGAAGGGAGAAAGAGGCAGGAATCTAAATGTCCATGGATAGGGCATTAGTCAATAACGATGCAGTGCTATATATACAGGGGAAATTTGCAGGTGTATATGCTAATGTGGAAAGCACCTTGCAGTGCAGTATATATAATGTGAAACTGGTTTTGTATAAAATGAGTATATGTATGCTCCGGCGCTTTCTGGAAGAATACATACCACACTGGAGGGTTAAAGTGGGGAACAGTTGGATGTTTGGGAAGACTTAAAATTTTTATTTTTATTTTTTATTTAAAAAAATATTTATTTATTTGACAGAGGGTGGGAGAGAGAGCGAGAGAGCATGGGCAGGGGGAGGAGCAGAGGGAGAGGGAGAAGCAGGCTTCCCAGCTGAGCAGGGAGCCCAGCGTGGGGCTCAATCCCAGGACCCTGAGATCATGACCTAAGCCGAAGGCAGACGCTTAATCGACTGAGCCACCCAGGCACCTGAGTTTAAATATCTTAACAGCCAGTTCTTTATAAATCACTACAGCATTGCCTTGATAATAAATCAAGCAGGTTGGGTTTCTGTCTGGAGAAAAGTTCCATTTAAACCTTCTTGCCCTTGCCTTTCATTAGGATTCTGATAATCCTGACCTTCGAGACCGAGGCTATATTTATTGGCGCCTTCTCTCAACGGACCCTGTCACAGCCAAAGAAGTAGTCTTGTCTGAGAAGCCACTGATCTCTGAGGAGACAGATCTTATTGAGCCAACTCTGCTGGATGAGCTAATCTGCCACATTGGATCTTTGGCTTCGGTGTACCATAAGCCTCCCAATGCTTTTGTGGAAGGAAGTCATGGAATCCATCGCAAACACTTGCCAATACATCATGGGAGGTAAGCAGGTGAACTAGGTTTTGACTGAGAAGTAACTGTTTAGACAAAGTTGGTCTTCCTCATGCGTTTATAGTCTAGAAAAGAACTTGCTGTGCATTTTGCAAACCTGCTATACTGCCCTGGGGGCTCCATCTGAATACTAGTGGGCACAAACATAATAGGTGAAAGGCCCTTCTGTGTTCTAATCTGGGAGTAGATAAAATAATGGCTTTAGAAAATGGTGAAGAGGGGCGCCTGGGTGGCTCAGTTGGTTAAGCGACTGCCTTCGGCTCAGGTCATGATCCTGGAGTCCCTGGATCGAGTCCCGCGTCGGGCTCCCTGCTCAGCGGGGAGCCTGCTTCTCCCTCTGACCCTCCCCCCTTTCATGTGCTCTCTCTCATTCTCTGTCTCAAATAAATAAATAAAATCTTTAAAAAAAAAAAATGGTGAAGACCTTCTAAACTGATAAAGTTTGAGAGTTGCTTAAGTCTGCAGATGAGGCTAGAAATCTTGTCAGGGCTGAAAATTTGGAAGAAAGTCTGTATGTACCTTTAGCTTTTTTGTTTGTTTTAAGATCTTATTTATTTGAGAGCGACGGGGGCGGGGTGGGGGGAGCAGCAAAGGGAGAAGCAGACTCCTTGCTGAGCAGGGAGCCCAGCTTGGGGCTGGATCCCAAGGACCTTGAGATCCATGACCTGAGCCAAAGGTAGCAGCTTAACCGATTAAGCCACCCAGCGGCCTACCTTTAGTGTAACTTTCGATGAAGCTTTTGGATAAAGTTAGCAGATACTCCTTTTGTGCTATAAAGCTGAAAATGAAGTAATATTTGCAGGATTGTTTTTAAAAGCAGACTAGATTCCTTCCTTCTACTGGCTTTGGGCTTTGTTCTTTTTCTAGCTCCTTAAGGTATAAGGGTAAGTTTGAGATTTTTCTTCTTGAGGTAAGCCTATATTGCTCTTATCTTCCTTCTTAGAATAGCTTTTGCTGGATCCCAAAGATTTTGGACAGTTATGTTTTCATTTTCATTTGTCTCCACGTATTTTTTTTATTTCCTCTTTGATTTCTTGGTTGACCCATTCATTGTTTAGGAGCATGTTGTTGTTTAGCCTCCATGTATTTATGTTCTTCTCTCAATTTTTCTTGTGGTTAATTTCTAGTTTCATACCATTGTGGTCAGAAAAGATGCATGATACGATTTCAGTCTTTTTGAGTTTATGAGACTTGTTTTGTGACCTAAGATGTGATCTATTTTAGAGAATGTTCCATGTGCACTTGGAATACACACAAAAATGTGTATTTCGCTGTTTTTGAATGGAATGTTCTGAATATATCTGTTAAAAAGCATCTAGTCCTATGTGTCATTCAAAGCCACTGCTTCCTTGTTGGCTTTCTGTATGGATAATAATATCCACTGATATAAGTAGGGTGTTGTCCTCTGCTATTATTGAACTACTGTCAGTTTCTTCCTTAATGTCTATTAATAGTTGCTTTATTTATTTAGGTGCTCCCATTTTGGGTGCATAAATATTTATAATTGTTATATTCTCTTGTTAGTGTGGTGCCCATCTTTCTTTGTCTCTTGTTACAGTCTTCGTTTTGTCTGTTTTGTCCAGTATAAGTATTACCACCCCATCTTTCTTTTTGCATCCATTTGCATGGTAAATGTTTTTCCATCCCTTCATTTTGAGTCTGCATGTGTCTTTAGGTCTGAAGTGAGTCTCTTGTTGGCAGCATATAGGTGGCTCTTGCTTTTTTATTCATTCAGTCACCCTGTGTTTTTTGATTAGAGCATTTAGACAGAGCTGGGATGCAGCAGTACTGTCCTAAGAGGTAAGATTACAGCAGTACCTTCCTGAGGCCAACTCAGGAAGCAAGTAAAATCCCAACCTAATCTTACATCTAAAGGAACTAGAAAAAGAACAAAGCACAAAGCTGGTAGAAGGAAGGAAATAGTAAAGATTAGAGCAGAAATAAAGGAAACAGAGACCAAAAAAAATAGTAGAACAGATTAAGGAAACCAGGAGCTGGTTCTTTGAAAAGATCAATAAAATTGCTAAACCTTTAGTCAGACTTATCAAAAAAAAAAAAGAGAGAAAGGACATACTTAAAAAGGAAAGGACATACTTAAAAAGGAAAGGACAGGGGCGCCTGGGTGGCTCGGTTGGTTAAGTGGCTGCCTTCCGCTCAGATCATGATCCTGGGGTCCTGGGATCGAGCCCCGCATCGGGCTCCCTGCTTGGCGGGA